CTTCCTGTCAGGCATGGCCAACCGACTGATCCGATGCACAAGTGGACGGACTTACGCCGTCTCAAACTTGCTGTTCCTAAGGACGATAATGGCCATTCAGCCAGATCACTATGTAGATGCGGGTGCAATTAGACTAGTCTCATTCGGAGGCAGGTAGCAGGTCGGCCGCCTGAACACGCGCCGAAATGGCTGCTGAGGGCTGAAAACAAGGTGTCCAGGAGTTCAGTTTCAGAACACCAAGTGGACGTCGGTCACGAGGCATGTCGAAAGGCTGTGTATAAGGACCTCCTTCAGGCGAAGACTAGGCGTCTTCTGCGCCATCCAAAAGTCGTGGCCAGAATAATATAAACAGTTGGATTAGACGATCCACCTCTGACTGCCATGCTAAGATTCGGTGAGGGATATAACCCCATATCTTTAACCATCTCTACGGCAGTTCGATAATGGGCACAGCCTATGTCCACCGATCAGAGACAGTGACTTGCGCGGCATTCATTAAACCCCATCTTCCACCCCCTCCTGAGCACAGTGACAAGACAGAATCAAGAAGATCGCAGGCGAGATCAGACGCATTGGCGCACAAATTTAAAACAGCCCGTCTCCGCGCGTCGCATACGTCTGGGGCGCGCAGGAAGGACGAGAATACCACACTAAAAAAAGGGGGTGGGGCAGCTCAGAACATACCCGGGTGGAGGTACAATAGGGGCCACATTGAGAAAGGGCCATTGAGTCTGGCGTACATTTCACCAGTCGGCCACCGCGCGCACAGAAATACACATGAGTGACTGCAAACTAAGAGCTGAATTTTAAATTATCAAACATCACAGCCATGGGTATTGGCGCAACGTGATAGATTCGAGCGCGTCAGATAGATCGTAGTGGGGGGTACGTGCTGACACAGTCGAACTCACTCTCTCCTCCCGTCCCTCCAGGAGCGCGTACGCTCCGACGATCAGCAGCCCCGACGCCGCCGTAAGAGACAAATTCTAAGAGGACCTGCATGCCCTCTTGGTGACTGTGTCGAAGGCGGACAAGTTGATTATCCTTGGCGACTTCAACGCCCGCGTCGGCACAGACCACACTGCCTGGAGGGGAGTGCTGGGCCCCCACGGTCTCCGCGGCTCCAATGACAATGGTCTGCTACTGCTTCGCGCCTGCGCAGAACACCGCCTCATCCTGACGAA